AGCCGATCCCCTCCGCCTGCTCTCCGTGCCCAACCAGCCACCCTGCCAACCCGCTCTCCCCCGCCGCATGCCTTCCGTCACCGCCGAGAGGGGGGGGAAGTGTTCTTTACCAGCGAAAGCCCAAAAACTAGCCCTCCCGGGGACCGGCGGGACAGCGGGGAGGGGGCAAATCGCACCGTACGATGCAGGACCGGGAATGGCGGGGGGGGGGCCCGGCACGGTTTTGTTTGGGCCTCAAATGTGTAACAGTCGTCATTTCTCAACGTCCGCCGCGCCTTCGTTCTCAATGGGAAGGCTCCCATCCTTGAAACCAATTGTCGCCAATTTTGAGGCCCCGCGCGTGGCGTCTTAGAGAGCCGCCAAGAGGCCCCAGGAGGTCTCAGGAGGCATCAGGAAGCTCCAGGAGGCTTCAGGACGTCCCCGGAGGCCGTAGGAATCCTAAGGAGGCTCCAGGACGCTCCAGGAGGCCCCAGGATGCCCCGCGAGGTCCCGCAAGGCCCCAGGAGGTCCCTTCACGCTCCGGGCGTATCCTGAACGACCCAAAAGTTCCAGAACGCTGCGGACGCCCCTGGAGGGCTGAGGATACCCTAGGAGAGCCCAGGAGGTTTCAAGAGGCCGCAGGAAGTCCCCAGAGGTTGCTATCCCAGGAGGCCCCCGGGATTACCAGGAGGCTCCATCAGGTCCCATGGTCCATCACGCCCGACGTAGGGAGGGGGAGGCGGAGGAGGAGGAGGACGTGGAAGAGGAGGGGAAGGAGGACAGGGTAACGGAGGAGGAGGAGGACGAGGAGAAGGATGAGGATGAGGACGAGCATGATGAGGAAAGGATGAGCACGGTGACAGCGTGACGCCCCAGCAAATACACTTGGTCCAATTGGTTTCTAGCCCCGTGAGGGGCGCTACATGGAAGTAGTAGTGGTAGTAGTAGTAGTAGTAGTAGTAGTACTACTACTACTACTACGACTACTACTACTTCTACTACTACTACTACTACTACTACTACTACTACTACTACTACTACTAGTAGTAGTGGTAGTGGTAGTGGTAGTGGTAGTGGTAGTGGTAGTAGTAGTAGTAGTAGTAGTAGTAGTAGTAGTAGTAGTCGAAGTAGTAGTAGCAGTAGTAGTGCTAGTAGTAGTAGTCGTCGTAGTAGTAGTAGTAGTAGTAGTAGTAGTAGTAGTAGTAGTGGTAGTAGTAGTAATAGTAGCAGTAGCAGTAGCAGTAGTAGTAGTAGCAGTACTACTGGTAGTCGAAGTCGTAATAGTAGTAGCAGCAAAATATGCGGGCGTCATAGTAGTAGCAGCAGAAGTAGTGGGCGTCGTCGTGGTCGGAGCCGTCGTAGTAGTAGTAGTAGTAGTAGTAGTAGTAGTATTAGTAGTAGCATTAGTAGTAGTAGTAGTAGTAGTAGCGTTTTTGGTAGTAGTCGAGGTCGTAGTAGTGGTATTGGTAGTAGTAGTCGTAGTAGTAGTAGTAGTAGCAGTAGCAGTAGTCGTAGTAGTCGTAGTAGTCGTAGTAGTAGTGGTAGTAGTTGTTGTTGTTGTCGTGTCTGTATCAGGATTGGTAGTAGGTCTTCGTGTTGGTAGTACTCGTCTGCGACGTAGTAGTCGTAGTGGTAGTAGTAGTAATAGTAGTAGTAGTAGTAGTAGTAGTGGTAGTAGTGGTAGTAGTAGTAGTAGTAGTAGTAGTAGTAGTAGTAGTAGCATGAGTAGTAACAGTAGCAGTAGTAGTAGTAGAAGTAGTAGTAGTTGTAGTAATAATGGTCGTTGTAGTCGTAGTTCTCATCATAGTAGTAGCAGTAGTAGTCGTAGTGGTAGTAGTCGTCGTCGTTGTAGTAGTAGTATTAGTAATATTAGTAGTCGTGGTAATACTAGTCGTCGTAGTAGTAGTAGTAGTAGTAGTAGTAGTAGTGGTCGTAGTAGTCGTAGTAGTAGTAGTAGTAGTAGTACTAGTAGTAGTAGTAGTAGTAGTACTAGTACTAGTACTAGTAGTAGTACTAGTACTAGTACTAGTACTAGTACTAGTACTAGTACTAGTACTAGTACTAGTAGTAGTAGTAGTAGTAGTAGTAGTAGTAGTAGTAGTCGTGGTAGTGGTGGTAGTAGTAGTAGTAGTAGCAGTAGTAGTAGTAGTAGTAGTAGTAGTAGTAGTAGTAGTGGTACAACCAGTAGTGGTCGTAGGAGTGGGAATCGTCGTAGTATCAGGTTACTACTCTAGCCGTCCTCGTTTCCTCTGCCAGCGTCGTCTAACCTACAAATAATAATCAACAAATATATTTCCCCACATCCAAAGTGGGGTTCTTGTTTTCTCTGGACACCCCGCGCAGGAACAGGAACACACACACACACACCCACACCCACTCGCACTCTCTCATCATCAACCTCATCAGCATCATCGATGATGCTCTCTCACATGCTTAGTCACTCACATACTCATCATCATCATCACTCGCACTCTCTCACACGCTCACGAACATCATCATCATCATCGGCATCGGCATCATCCGCATTCAAACATCATCATCGCCACCACCACTCACAATCAGTCATCATCCTCTTCACCACTCATCCTCACCACCACTCATCATCCTCATCCTCATCATCGTTGAGTAAATTGTGAGGAAGTCTCAGGCGGGAGCCCCCTCCCTATGGGGCCCGCAGATCATGTTCGTAATCCGAGCGGGTCATCGGAACCCTGTAACTGTCGTCACTTTTGGGCTCCCCAGGCCTGAAAATGGAGGAAGTCTCAGGCGGGAGCCTCGTCTGTGAGTGAATTGGGAGGAAGTCTCAGGCGGGAGTTCCCTCCCTATGGGGCCCGCAGATCATGTTGGTAATCCGAGCGGGTCATCGGAACCCTGTAGTTGTCGTCACTTTTGGGCTCCTCAAGCCTGAATTTGGAGGAAGTCTCAGGCGGGAACCTTGTCTGTGAGTGAATTCTGAGGAAGGCTCAGGCGGGAGCCCCCTCCTCATGGGGCCCGCAGATCATATTGGTAATCCGAGCGGGTCATCGGAACCATGTAACTGTCGTCACTTTTGGGCTCGTCAAGCCTGAATGTGGAGGAGGTCTCAGGCGGGAGCCTAGTCTGTGAGTGAATTGGGAGGAAGTCTCAGGCGGGAGCCCCCTCCCTATGGGGCCCGCAGATCATGTTGGTAATCCGAGCGGGTCATCGGAACCCTGTAACTGTCGTCACTGTTGGGCTCCTCAAGCCTGAATATGGAGGAAGTCTCAGGCGGGAGCCTCGTCTGTGAGGGAATTGGGAGGAAGTCTTAGGCGGGAGCCCCCTCCCTATGGGGCCCGCAGATCATGTTGGTAACCCGAGCGGGTCATCCGAAACCTGTAACTGTCGTCAATTTTGGGTTCTCGCACTGCCAGAACGCAGCTCCCAGGCCACATTTTGGACGCAACAAGAAAGTTTTTGGGCTCCTCAGATCGCCGAGGTGCTGCGACAGGGCGCCGAAGGCGCCGACGACGACGGCCAGGCCGAGGCGCGGGCGCGGAGCTTGCTGATGTTCAGGCCCAGCGAAAGGGAGTTCACATGGCAGAGCTCGGGGGCGCACAGCGTGCGCCGCTCGGGGTTCACCCTGACGCACGCGTCCTACCTGACCTCCACGCTGTCGCAGGGCCAGACGCTGCGCAAGGGCGTCACCATCGACTGCGCGAGAGACGAGGACGCTGGCCGCACGGGCATGTCGGACGAGCAGTGGTGGCTGCACCTCTACGTCATGTTCTCCCGCGCCACGTGCATGCGGAACATGCTGATCCTGCGGCCGCCGCCGCGAGAGTTCCTGGAGTGCGGGCCGCCGGCGTCCCTGCGGAAGGCGCTCCTGGAGTTCGACAAGAGAGCGGTTTTGTCCAGGGCGGAGGCGAAGCAGCTCGCGGCAGAGCTGGGCTTCGTGCTGCCTTCCGCCTGAGCGCGGTTGCGCCTCGCTCGAAGCCCGCGGGGTTGTCCCAACGGCTTGGTTTTGCGCGCCGGCGGCTCGCGGGGTTGCCCCGACAGCCTGGCCCGCGGGGTTATCCCAACGGCTGCGCGACGTGACCAGTAGAGAGCGCGCCTGCGCTGGCCGTGGCGGCGACGGCGCCGAGGAACATCGACATGCGCGCTCATGCAACAGGAAGGGGAGGAGGCGGCGGGGCGCGGAACAAACAGGGGGGCGAGGATGGGGACAACGTAAGGAGTGGAAGGGGGGCCCGCGCCAAGGCGAGAGGAAATATACGCAGAAGAGACAACCAGGACGCCTCACCAACCACGAGGACGACGGTGATGGTTTTTTCCAGATTCGCCCAGAGGATTCTTATGTGGGGTTCTTCCGTCGGAGTACTTTCTTGTAGTAGTTGCATAATTCTTCTACGAAACAGTACGTGCGCGTACGCCTCCTCGCGTGATTCCCATGGAGAAGGAGGAGGGAGGATGAGGAGGAGAAGCTTGCAGGACTTGTCCTATACACCGCCGAGTGAGAAGGGGGCGGGGAGATCAAAACTAAGGAGCTAAAGACCCTAAGGATGTTTCACCGTGCTTCCTCAGTGTTGGCAGAAGGGATTGCGAACAAAACGCGTTTGTTCTGGTCTTCGTGTTTGAGCTGTCCGCCTTGAGACGTGCTTCGTTTTGGGCGTTTACAAGGCGCCTTGGGCATTGGGCGAAGAGGCTCATCTTCTTGAGGCGCGTTATTGTGCCCACGTTTCGTCGATTGCACCGGGTCAGAAAAAAGTAGCCAGCATGGGTTTAGTTTGAGCATGGCGATTGGGTCTCAATTGGATGTTTGGATCGACGCCTTCGGTAATTTTTGGACGTTGTTTGTCCTGGCGGGCTCCCCGAGGGGCTTCTCGTCCCCACCGCTGGATCTGGATCGAAGCGCTGGCTTGAACGCGCCCCAAGACAAGGTCTGGGCCCAATCTTCGAAGGAGGGGTGGGGAGCAGGGGCGAGGACGAGGTTCGTGCAAGGTGAGAGCTGGAGGGGGACGAGCAGCGAGGCGGCGGGGGAGTTGCAGCGGGGCGGGGCTGGGGAGGCGCCGTCGCAGGTGATGCAGCAACCCGCGCCGCAGTACGGGGTTCTTCGGGGGATCGCGTGTGCGCTGCTCCCTCTGGCGCCTCCTCTCCGCTCCTCCTCGGCGTCCTCCTCTGCCTCGTCCTTCCCCTCCCCTTGGCGGTCCGCCCTCACGTACGACGGGCACATCTATACAGAGGGAGGGAGAGAGATGAATAGGCAGACAGACCAGCTGATTGACATACATATTCACACACCCACACATTCAACAGTGTACATGGCAGAGCGTTGGGGATGAGATCGGGGCGACATGGAGATCCCCAAGCCGCGGAATCGGTTTCGGTTTCGTGTTCGTGCCGTTCGTGCGGGCGAGACGAGGCTGCGTGCGCGGGCGAGGGGAGTGATCCCGCCGCTGTTAGGACGAAGATGGATCAAACGTTCCTCCGCCCACCTCCCCTGTTGGCGGTTGGGTTCCCGCGGTTGTCCCGAGGTTGCTTCGCGGTTGTCCCGATGGTTGTCCCGTGTTAGACCCGATGTTTGTCCCGATGGTTGTCCCGATGGTTGTCCCGACGGTTGTCCCTCTGGTTGTCCCGACGGTTGTTCCTATGATTGATCCGCCGGTGTCCCGATCGTTGTCCAATGGTTGTCCCGATGGTTTTCCCGATGGTCGGCCCGATGGGTAAAGCGATGTAGAGGTCGATTGGTCTATTGTAAGGTCGACACGTATGCTGTGGTACATGTAGTTGTGCATCTACCGATAGGACCACACTACGGGTGATAAGGAGTTTGGGTGGGGAAAGGGAGGCGCCCGATGTGGTATTGTTCTGTTTTTGTTTGGGTGGTGTCTTGAACTTCCTTATTGTCGGGCACATTTGCCCATATATATATATATATATATATGCATATATATTTATCGACATATGTCTCTACGTTCCAATGTATGTTAACCATTTGTATATTTATGAATATAGCTATAGCTGCATGCGTGTGTTGTTTAAGCTATCTACGTATATACATGTATATGTATGTATGTGTATGTATGTATGCATGTATGTATGTATGGATACAAAATATCGACACCTTTACCTAGCTATGTATCTTTCGATCCAATGATCGACCTAGCTATCCATCTGTACATCGTGCGTTTCGCGCACGCAGCGCGCGAAACTCAAAGCACCATGTATGATGCACATGCGTGTCGCGCCCATGGACATCATCGGGACAACCACATTTTTCTGCGTATTCATATCTACACCTCGGCTTACCTGTATACTTCTTTATTTGCCTTTACATCGATCAACCATCAGGACACCCATCGGGACAACCATCGGGACAACCATCGGGACAACCATCGGGACAACCATCGGGACCACCATCGGAACAACCGTCGGGACAACCATCGGGACAACCATCGGGACAACCGTCGGGACAACCATCGGGACAACCGTCGGGACAATCATCGGGACAACAATCATGAGGAGCACCCGCGGGACAACCATCGGGGGCCGCGCCCGGCCGGCCGGGAGGGGGCTCGCGACTTTTTGGGCCCCATGTTGCTTCTACCAGTGCAGGAAGTCGCGCAGCTTACCTTCGCCCGCACGCACGACACGAACCGAAACCGAAACCGATTTCCCCGTTGGGGCTACTTCCGCTCGCACCCCCCAACATCCGATAATATATATATATATATATATATATATATATATATATATATGTGTGTGTGTATACAGATCCGTATTGTATGAAGCCACCTACGCTGTGTAACATATCGTCTGCAATCCATGGTGTGTGATCTTCGTAATGCAATACATGTTGTGCAGTCTGGGTGTTGGAATGCATGTGGTGCACTATGTGTGAGGCAACATGTTTTGCCCAATCTGTGTGGAACAACCTATGTGCTGCAACCTATGTCGTGCAATCCTTCTTGCGGCGACGGGGCGGCGTCGGGTTGGCGGCGGCGGCCACATAGCCGCTGAACCGACCGTCGGGCCTTGACGACGGGCGGCGAAGAGTCGGCGACGGGGCGGCGGCGGCGGACACATAACCGCCAGACCGAAGACACGGCCAAAACGACGGGCGGGGACGTGGCGGCGAGGGGGCGGCGACCGCGGCCACACAGACGCCAGACTGAAAACATGGCCCAGTTCCTTGGAACAGAAGCGCGACCCCCAAAATGCAAACACATTTCGGGGATGTAGCTACTTCGCGCGATGGGAAAACAAGTGTGCCGGAATGTAGAAGATGTGCGGCGCGATTGCTTGGAACGTGCCCAGTTCCCGGCAGGCCCGCCGCAGTCCGCAGAAGGTGCCACGGGCGACGTCCAGAGCGCACCCGATGCTGCGCCGCCATCCGAGTGCGGGCAATGCGGCGACGCGGTGGGCGTTGCAGACGTTCCGGCCGGAACTGCACCGGCTTTGCCACAGCCGTGGGGCGACCCCTGTCACGTAGGTAGGGTTGATTTGCTCGCGGCTTATTCCAGTGGTATGAGTGGCCGGCACGGGAAGGCGCAGTTGCGGCGGATGGCGGCTACGCTGCATATTCGGGAGCATGGGCCGAGAACCATCCTGCATATGAAAGAAGCTTGCCAGCTCGCTGTAGCAGGGCAGGCGTCACTGGCCCGCTGCGCGCGCATGCCGGGGCAAACGCCAGCGCCAAGTTCGGGCAGTGGACTCCGCGCGATCGCGCCAGCGACAGTTTCTGACAGCGCGACCGCGCGCGTTCCGGCGCGGCCCATGGCTTTGCGAGCTCGTGCCAGAAGTGCTCGTAAGGCCCAGGAGCAGCACCCGAAGAGGAAGCCGCGGGAGCCCGAATCCATGAGGAAGCCGCAGAGGAGGGCGCGGGAGCAGAAACGGCAGAGGAAGGCGCAGCGGAAGGCGCAGGACTTGAAGAGGAAGCGCGACCCCAAGAGGAAGGTGCAGAGGAAGGCGGAGGAGCACAACCCAGAGAGGAAGGCCCAGAAGACCTGTGAGTCGCAGGCGCTGCGCTGAAGCAGAAGAGGCAGACCATGCGGCGCACTCGGCGGGGGAGCCTTTTCCCTGGCGCGTCTCGGGCGGGCGCAGTCTGCGCCAAGAGTGTTCGCGCGCGCCCAGAGCTGGCGCGCGAGCGCAGGCTGCGCAGAACATCGCGAGAGCACGCGAGCGCGATGGCGCGGGGCACCTACCGCCCGCGCGCGCGGCTTTCAACATCCCCTCGCGGTCGGCGATCGCCGGGCAGATGTTCGAGCGCGCGGAATTGCGCGAGTGGGCGACGCGCGCGGTGCGCTGGGGCGCTCGGTGCGACTTGCTTCTGGACTACCACTTCGACGAGCTCCTCGGCGCCAGCCCGTCGCCCGCGCTCTGGTTCACATTGGCTGACAGCGCCGCTGTGGGGGCGCGCAGGCGGGGCGCTGCCGACCGGCGGCGCCTGGGTGCGCCGGCCCCGCGGCGGAGACGCGCCAGTTCTTCGCAGCGAATTATTATTTGGACGTCTGCCCTGCTGTTCTCGCCCGCGCGCTTCCCGGCCAGGCGTCGCTCGGTGGCGATCTGCGACGCCTGCCAGGGGCGCGTCGGCGATGCCGGGTCTGTCCCCCCCGCCAGCGACGAGATGTGCCTTCGCGACTACGCGGTGGGTCCTGTTCGCTACCGGTTAGGGCCTGAAGGGCGCGAGGTCGCGCGCGAGCGCTCCGATGGCGCGGCGCCGCCAGGCCCTGCTAGCGGCCCCGCGTATTTTTCGCCGCTCGGACGCAGCGCGAGCGAGCTCGCGCCATCGGCGGCCGCGCTGACAGGTCACAGAAGATGGCGCTCGCCCGCTTGTCCAGGCGCGCGCCCTCCCTCGAGCGGGCCAGCTCGCGCGCGTGCGGCGCGCGCGCAACGTCTGGTAGCGCGAGCCCGCGCCCCTGGCGAGCCTGCCGCTTATGTCGGGGGGCATGCCGTGCATCGTGATTCGCCGCGGACGTGCGGGGGCAGGGCAACGGGCATGGTGCCTGTCAAGGTGGGCGCGCTGAAGTTCCTGTGAGCGTTCGAGTGGCTGGAGGAGAACGGCCTTCATTATTTTGGCTTGGAGTGGCGGGGCGACGCCGCAGCTGCGCGGGGGGCCGAGGACGCGCGGGTGCGAGTCGTTCGCGAGGCCCGCGAGGACCTGGGCCAGGCGCCTTTTGTCTCTGACGTTTTCTTTCCCCGGTGGATGCAACTCGCGCGCGCCGAGGCCGCCGCGGGGGGCTCCGTCTGCGCGATCGGGGGGCGCGTGGTGGACATGGTGATCGAGGGGGCGGGAGGCGCGGGCGCTCTTCCACCTTCGGCCGCCGCGGCGCCGGGCTTTTCTGGCGCTTGACACGGCGCCCCTGGCGGCTTGGATCTGGCGCGCCGCGCTGCGGCAGAAGTGTTCGAGCAAGGCGTCGTCCAGGTCGCTGCCTCGCTCCCGCGGGACGTGCTCGCAGCGGTTCTCTCAGCGCGCGCGGCGCGGGGCGTCGGCTTGCCCCTGGGGCGAAGAGCCCGGCGCGCGCTGCAAGCGCCGCAGACAGTCGACGCCAACGCCTGCCCGATTGAGCTACCCACCGTCCGCAGCGAGGCGGGCGCTTTCGCGCTGGGGCAGGCGAAGGAGGAGACGTCCGCGGCGGCGCGTGCTGGCGCCGCCGCGGCTGGAGGAGTCGGCGACGACGTGGGTCTACGGGAGAGCACCGCGGACTCGCCTGCCGCCGCGGCGGAGGAGCTCTTGGGCTGCGACGGCGCAGCGCCGCACTCGAGCACCGCGCCGGACTCGGCCCCCGGCGAGGCCGCTCAGGAGGCCGACGCCGCAGCGCCAGTCTCTGGCGTCGCAGCGCCCCGCGCCGCCGCGCCGTCGCAGCCGGCGGGGCGCGCGCGCCCAGGGGTGGCCCCGCCTGACGCGGGCGGCGCGCCAGGGCAAGCTATCTCCGAGCACGCAGAGACAAAGCTGTCCCAGAACAGTTCACTGACGGGGCCAGCGGCGCCGCGAGGGCCGCGCAGGCCTGCGCCGCGCGGTGCGTTTCGAGGAGTGGGGCTGCTACCTGATGATGTGGCGCGACGGTCGCTTCACGTGCCGC